CCACCAACAACAACAAAAAAAAGGAAAGAAAGGAGGAAAAGTGGTTAAGTCAACATATTCCCTATAGGGGCTAGAATTTGAGGCAATAAACATACACATAGTTCCTATTCTAATACCCTTAACAACTTAATGATAAAGATAAATGTACATAAGACAAGGACTTTTTATTTAATGCCCTAAGAAAAACACAAACGTTATCAGCATTCTAAGTAAGGCATTATGAATTTTATGAAGGTACAACAGACTTCATAGAAGCAGTATCAGATAATTATGATAAAAGGAACAGAGAAGGTTGTCAAAGACCTAACCTCCTCAGAAAGTACCAAAAGCCAATGTTATTCTAAATTCTACCAAATATTTAAGAACAGATAATTCTAAAGTTTACAAGCAAACATGGAAAACTGTGGGTATAAGAATTTTGATGATTATGCCCTCATTTTTAATCCGTTTCTATACTTTAATTTCTACCATGAGCATGTATTAGATTAGTTCGATAATCTGTGTATGAATTGTGTGTGTGTGTAGGCCCTAATATCCACAGTGTGAAAAGATAGCCAATGGACATTAAATCTCATGATGCTTGTTTTTACTATCATATAATCAAATTCCATTATCCTAAATTCTGAATTTTTAGAAATGAACCTTTAATTACTGCCATTACTCCAGATATTCTCCCTACCTAAAAAGAGCTGCTGAAGTATTTTTTCCTGAAAAAAACAAAATGATATATAGTAGTTTCCCCTTATCCTCAGAAGAGACCCCCAGTGGGTGCCTGAAACCAAGGATTGTACTAAACCCAACTGCCACCAATCAGAACATGTTCCTATGTCTTCCACCCAAAGATTTAATGCCTTTTCCATCTTAACTAAGCACTTATAAAGCACTGTGGCCTTACTGTTTACAGTTTGGGGAGCAACAGCAAAACTAGCACACATTTTTTTTCCTTCTTCATAATTTCACAGATAGAAGATTCGTTCTTACTATAGATCTCAGCAACCTTAGCAAACAATTGTTTTTCTTTCCTCATTAAGTCAAGAATTTTTTCACCTTTTCACTTGAAGTACTTTATGGTTTCTCTTTGACATATTCAAATTGCCAGCATTACTACTCTCTCATGTTGGGGCCATTACTGAGTAAAATAAAGGCTACCTGAACACAAATACTGTGATACCACAACAGTCGATTTGGTAACTGGGACAGCTACTAAGGGAGTAACAAGCAGGTAGCACAGAAAGCATGGAAAGCCTGGAAAACTCAAGTCCCTGGCAAAAAAGAGTGGGACAGCATGAGATTTCACCATGCTACTTAGAACAGCACAAGATTTAAAACTTATGAATTGTTTATTTTTCGAATTTTCCATTTAATACTGCAGTTGATCACCAGTAATTGAAACCGCAGAAAGTGAAACTGTTGGATAAGGGGAAGTACTGTATATAAACTGATTTGTCCTCCCCAGTTCCCATTCAAGGACAAATGTTAATTAAAGCAGATACACTGTTTGAGTTTTTTAGAAAATACAGATCCCCACAGGAAAAAATACAACCTCCACAGGAGATTCAAAGCTGTATGAGACTGTGCCCTCAAGGACTTACCATCTGAGTTATAGAAAACATGTATGTACACAGTACAAGAGAAGCAATCTGTGATAAGTGTCAGGCCTCTGAAATCAGAGGGTAGATCCATAAGAGACAATCTTAACATTCTGCATAGAAAAGGCCTAAAATAGATAAAAATTGTCACCAACTAATAATAACAGTAAAGAAATTTTAAACTATCAAAGTAAAATGAAATATCCTAAATCCACTAAACAAAACTCAATCTCTATTAATGGGGTCCTCGCTTTCAACAAGTCTCCCCAGATGAATTAGATACATACGCCCTGATTAAGATCCAGTGGATCACACTAATAATGGCCTGACGGCACTTGGTTGCATGACTAAATGAGCCAGATTCCATGCTACTTAAGCAACTTGCTAAAATTGTACTATGAAAATCCCAATCCTAATTAAATGAGTTTCTTTCTAGACCTATAAGAAGCTCAGCACCAGAAATCACATCAAGATAAATGGCAATCTTTAAGTCCTTGACATTCTCCCTCAGTTCAAAATGATTGACAACTTTTATGTTACTCACTATTTGAAAGTTGATTATATGCATATACAGTCATGTCCCACATAAAATTTTGGTCAATGATGAACCATATATACAAAGGTAGTTCCATAAGATTATAATACCATATTTTTACTGTACTTTTGCTATGTTTAGGTATGTTTAGATATACCAACATTTACCATTGTGTTACAATTGCCTACAGAATTCAGTATATGCTGTACAGGTTTGTAGGCTAGGAGCAACAGACGAGGTGTGTAGTAGGCTATGCCATCTAGGTTTGTGTAAATACACTCTATGATGTTTACATGATGATGAAATCACCTAATGGCACATTTCTCGGAAGGCTGTGTTTTCAAATTCCCATAAGAAAAAATTTTGGAACTCTGTCAATTTTTAAACCAGAAAGAAAAAAAGAGAATTCAATACTCTACCTACTTTTCAAATACATTATTTTAATACTCAGCCTGGGTACAGTTGCCAGACTGGAACTCTTTTAAACAGACAAAAAACATGTGCATAAATTATAAACTATACAGAGCTTAACAGGAATTGAATTAAGAACGGCTGAATGCTCAATTTTAATTTTTCATTTACATCATTAACATGTTCATCCCTTTTTGGTTTACTCTCCATATACAAGAAATATGCTTAATGCATATTACTAGACTATATATGTATTAATCTAT